GTGGGGTGGGGGTCTGGGGGGTCCAGGGTTGGTGTAGGTGAGGATAATGATGCCACAAGCTATGGGGGCAGGAAAGCTGGGGATGTCTGGGGTCTTGGGACCCTCCTTGGGCCATCGCAGCCTTGTCCCCATCACTCCCAGCAGCTGATTCGGGGTCTGCATCCTCCCTCGGGACCATCTTGTCCAACGGTGTCCCCGAGGGGGTGCCCAAGGAGGAGGGACAGTGACAGCAAGTGTCACCTTCCCCTCAGGGTTTGGCACCGACTGGCAGCCCAAGCTCCCCCAGACCCCCGACCTCACCCCTGGCACAGGGAGGAGGGTGCCCGCCCAGCGTGGGGGGGATGCAGCTGGCACAGCACCCATAGGTGCTACCCGCAGGGGTGCTGCCCGTGGTGGGGGGACAAACCAGCAGGCAGAGGGACTTACGAGGACATCGAAGCTGTCCCGGTAGAGGTGGCGGTCGCAGCGCAGACAGTCCCCCCGGCAGTCGCCCCGCGCCCGGGCGAAGAGGCAGAGCAGCAGCAGGTCCCAGAGCACAGCCCTCATGGCGGCACCGGCAGCGGCTGCGGCACGGGAGAGAGAAAACCCTGTCAACTCGGCACTGCCGAGCCCTGCACCTGCACCGAAATGTGCCCGTTCTCAGCCTGTCCTCCCTCAGCCCTCCCCAGACATGCGTGCTCTCAGTCTCCCTGCCAAAATTATCCTTTCGGGAAAGGAGCCTGGCTGCCTCCTCATCCCCTAAACAGATCCTGAGTGTCCCGGCTTAATTTTTTTCCAGGCTATCTCATGGCACGAGTCCCAGCCAGGGCTTATTTTAGCAGGTGGACGTGGTGGGGCAGCACATCCCCGGCTGTCCCCTGAGCAGGACACTCCTTATCCAAGCACTGTCGGAGCCAGGAGAGGATGGCCTGCTCTGGTTTCCCCTCCTGGATGTTTTGGGGTGCTGCTGCCCCTGTCCCTATCGTGGGAGGGTTCAGCCATCGCTGCCCTGGGGAGTGCCAGGATCTGAGCCTGCCCAGCATGGAGCAGCAAAGCCCAAAGAAACATTCATGTCCTGTCTGGCTTTGCCGACATCAGTGGCGGGTGGTTATTAAGTGACATGACCAAGGCCATGCGCTTCTCTC